GGTAGGCCTAGGGTTCAAGCTAGAATAATGATTCGCTTAGTAATTACAACTTTCTCACCTTACTTTACCGCTTGCCTGTTCGGGGAATCCCAACAATCGTGTGATTCGTGAGCTGGATAGCCGCGTGCGCCCATTCTCAGATTGGAGAGTAGAGATTGACGATAGAAATTCGAGTCTTGTATAGTTCATTTCGTTCAGGTAACTTGGGTAAAAGGGAATCCCCACCGTCGATGAAGTATAACTTACTCTAAACATGCATAAGCGAAGAATTATTTCCTCAGTCTATCAGATTTTGTAGCAAATCCGTAAGTACGATTAGATACAGTCGGTGACAGCGTAAAACATTTCTGAATTGGGAAGCAAGCGTTGCGGAAGCTTGCAAAGAATTTTCATGTTCCCATTCATAATTGTGTACGTTAAGTTGCTTATCATTTTATTGTTGAGTTCAATGTGGTAGTGACATATTAATGATGATTATATTTGTTGTTAAAATGAAAGTTCATATTCGTGTTTGTGATTCATTATTCTTTTCAAACTATTCACACTCACATTTACACACACACGCACTCACTCATCCACACAGTACAATAAACGCGGTATGTATTTACAAATCTTTATTTATAGGATTTGTTGTGTCGTAGTTACAGGCTCTCTCTTTTGCCTTGTGGTGTTGCCAGTCGTGATTAGTGAAAATGATTCACAATATTAATTTACACATTTTTCTTTATGAAACGACAGTCGGTTCAATTAAATCCTCGCGGATTGCCATTGCCATTTCCCTTATCTATTCTCATATCTGAGATCATTTGTAGCACAAGAAGGTCCGTGAGGATCGTTACGCCCACCTCCCTCACATATTTTCTTCTTGAAAAATACAAAAGTGAAAAAACACGAAATTTAATGAAATAACAAAGTTAAAAACTAAACATTATAAGAACATCGGCTAGTAGCACTTGAATAACATCCCTCCTTCTCTGTTCTTTCTTTTTCTCTTACTATCTTGGCCCTTACGTGTATGATCTGGTGAACATGGCCAGAAAATCGCCGCAGGCCAGAGGACCAGGACTCGTTAGTATAAGTATTAAGCCGCCCAGGATGAAGTGGATGGGCGCCGCCTGCCAGGACGCCCGTAGATCCAGCGAATAACCAGGAAATCGTCAGAGCAGGCCCCAGGGTGCTATGGAAAACCGCCTGCCTGGATGTCCATAGATCGGCCAAACTCCAGGAGCTCCCTAGCGCAGGAATAAGCCGCCCTCAGATACCGGAAAGGACGCCCCTGCTCAGACGTCCTTAGACCTAGACGCAGGTTACGAGGACATCTGTACGAGCCGAAACCGAGAAAGACCTGGACGAATCTATGAGGACTGGTGGATGAATAACACCAGTCTGACGACCCGAAATCGAGGAGGACCTAGGTGAAACGTGTAGACGTCAAGGATGGAGAATTCACCAAGGACCAAGATGAAGAGGCCGACAATTAGGAGCTACACAAGGATGACCAGGAACAAGAATGCGACAAGATGACCAGCAGATCGGGTCTGAGGATGGGTCACCCTTGAGGCAATTCAGATGACACATTGAGGACGAGGCGTGAGTAGGTGGCTGAGCGATGTAGTATACTATAGGAGAGATGATACACGTCGCTTGGTCGGCTTGGGTTTCCTTGTAGGTTTTCCTCCCGGCATGGGTTTCCTTGTAGATTTTCCTTCCTTCTATGCGAACCCAAGCCACGCTCTCTAACTATAGCTTGGGGCGTCCACCAGGCCTATAAGAGGTCAGCCGACCTTGGCCCAACACTCAAACTCACTTGCACTCACATGCTCAGAGAGCCTGCCCTTAGCAGGGTGGGTCTCGCACACTCACTCGCGCACTACACACCGAGTTGACATGCTCACACCCGCCACGGCAGCTGCCCTCTCCCGGGGCCAGGCAGTAGGCCTTCCACTCAGAACCGACTAAGAATCGTATTCCGTTATGACTTCCAAGTGTTTTACTCTTGCTAATATAGAAAAAAGCCATAAACGGTGTATCACTACGGTGTGTATATAGTATATTATATATATTATATATATATATATTATATATATTATAGTATATATATATATATTATGTATGCATGTGTATATGTATGTATTGTATTAATGTATTATGCATATATATATTATTATTATGTATGTTTATGTATATATGTATATATGTATATATTTATGTATATATTATGTATATTATATGTATTATTTTATGTATATGTATATGTATATTTATGTATATATGTATATATATGTATGTATATATGTATATGTATATTTGTGTATATATATATATTCATGTGTGTATATATTATTTATATACATACATATATATATATATATATATAATATATATATATATATTATATATGTATAAATGTATACATATCTCTGTATATATGTTTATATGGTATGTGGATATATATATATATATATATATATAATATATATATATATATATATATATATATATATAATGTGTGTGTGTGTATATATATACATACATACACATCTTTATACATGTATACATACGTATTCACACTAAAAAAAAAAATATATATATATATATTATATATTAATATATGTAAATATTATTATATATATATAAATATATTATATATAATATAATATATTATATATATATATATATATATTATATTATATATAAATAAATATATATATATATATATATATTTATAAATATATAATATATAATATATATAAATATATTATAATATAAATATATTATATATATAAATATATATATATATAAAATATATTATATATATAAAATATTATATATATATAAATATATTATATATATATATAAATATATATATATATATAAATATATTATATATATATATAAATATATTATATATATATAAATATATTATATATATAAATATATTATATATATATAAATATATTATATATATAAATATATTATATATATATAAATATATTATTATACATATAAATATATTATATATATATAAATATATATATATAATATATAATATATATAAATATATTATATATATATATATATATATATATATTTATATAAATATATATATATATATATTATATATATATATATATTATATATATATATTATATAATATATATATATATATTATATTATATACATATATATATTATTTATATATAATATATATAATATATATTATATATATATATATTATATATATAATAAATATATTATATAATTATATATTATTAAATATATTATATATATAAATATATAAATATATTATATTAAATATATATATATATATATTATAAAATATTATTATTATATATTTAAATATATTATATTTATATATATATATAATATTATATATATATATATATATATATTATATTAAATATATTATATATATATTATATAAATATATTTATATATATATATATATATATTTTATATTTAATATATTTT